TTGAGGGTACCATGGACTGTTAGGAAAACAAACAGATTCATCCTGGAAAGGGTTAAACCAGGCGGCTCCTTGAAGGCAAGGGTTCTGAGGCTCTGTCTAACATACTTTGGACATGTTGTAAGGAGAGAGTGCAGAATGGGAAGGCCCTCTATGAGGTGGATTGATTCAGTAACTGGGATAATCGGGATGGGTGTGTTGGAGACAGTGTGATTGGCACAGGACAAGCGACTCGACGGCACACAACAACAACAACAACATCATACAACTTGCAGAGAGTTCTGATGCCTGGTGATAGGAAGCTACAGTACAAGCCCAAAAGCATGCTGTCTGAATCCATGAGATGCTCTGTGGGAGATGGATGGACAGATGGGCAGTCTCCTCTCCTGCAGTTTATTGCCTCTGAATACCTGCTGGTGGCTCAGCTATGGGTCAGTTCCAACTTGCCAACACACAATAACAACAACATGTGGTTTGCTGCCACCCAGAAACCTGTTGGAGAGCCAGCTATAGGTCAGTTTCTGTTCTTCAGCAGTGAATTTTCTTTTTCTCAGTTTACACTATTTCTAAGGTGATGCTGATGTTGCTTGGTCAGGCGTCCATGCTTTGAGGATCAGTGTTAAGAGGAACTTAAACCTTTAGAGCTGACCCTCAGTCCTACTCTGGGGGCTCAGAGTCCACTTGGGGGTAGAAGGGGTCAGGGAGCAGAGAGGGAAGGTGAGGTGCTCCCGTGGTCTGCCCACCCACTGGCCACTGGCCCCTCTCCCTTCTACTGGTGTCTGCTCCCCCCTGGTGGCAGCAAGCTTGGAGCTGCTCTGGCTTATTCAACCTTGATATCCTGTCCTCCCATTTGGAAATCATTGCAAAGTCTTCCAAATTTGCATATCTTTTCACACAGTAAGTTTACATGTAGGGATTTAATCCAAGGAAAAAATCAAGAATGCGTACAGCACACTCAATGCATTGTTTGTTTGTAAGAGAGTAAAATAAGAGACAGGGGACTCTCATTAAGCCACAGTCACGCAGCTTGGAAGAGACTCAGACAGGTTTGAAATGAGTCTGCCTGATTCACTGGAGCCCTGGTGCCTTTGGTGGTTAAACGCCCGGCTGCTAACCTCAAGGTTGGTGGTTTGAAACCACCATCCAATCTACAGGAGAACAATTAGGCAGTCTGCTCCGGTAAAGATGGACGATCTCAGCAATCCTTCAGGGCAGTTCTGTTCTGTACTGTAGGGTTGCTTTGAGATGGAATTTACTTAGCGGTAATGAGCGGTGGGCTTGCCTGACTCAAAAGGCGGAACCTTAATTACAGTACAACATGGCCCTTGCTCACACCTCCCACATCCATAACACAAAAGCCTAAGCGAGATCAGTTACTGGTGAGTAAAACTGTGCTCTATAGTGTTTTTTTTTCCATGACCACGATAATTCAGAAGTAGATTGCCAGGCCTTTCTTGTGAGGCACTGCTGTGTGGATCCAAATCATCAACCTGTAGTTTAGAGGCTGAACACCTAATCATTTGTGCCCTTAGGTCTCTTTTGACAACACACAGCACTGTGGTTAACAGTACAGACTCTAGAGCTGAATTGCCTTTTGTTGAATCCTTGTTCTATTCCTTTCTAGTGATGTAACATTGGCCAAGCTGCTTAACTGCTCTCTGTCTCAGTGTTTCCATCTGTAAAGGGGGAACAGAAAAGCAAAAGTTTACATAAAAGGCTCAGGACAGTGCACTTAATGTGATATTATTATTATTATCATCATTATCTATTAAACCCTCGGCCAAAGAGAGGATGCCCCTTAATAAGACGGATTGTCATGATGACTGTGACACTGGGCTCGTGCATAGTAGGTACAGTGAGGGTGTCTCAGGGTAGGGCAAAGTTTCCAAACTCCTTTTTATAGGGTAGCTGGGTTGTAGTTGACTTGACAGCACTTAACAACAATAAGACGGGATAAAACCTCCACCAAACCAAAATCCCCAACAAACAACCAAACCAAACCAAAGTCATTGTCATTGAAGTTGAA